ACAGTTAAAACATAGGTTTAGGCCTATATTCGCTGTATAAGACTACCCCCCACTTCAAAGAAAAGACTTACTTTGCTGTCAAGATCTGCAGGTAATTTTTGTGCAATTTTGGTCTTTTGCCCCCAATTTTCGGTTGACTTTTTTTCGTTTCAAAGGTCGTCTTATACGCCAGAAAATATGGTAAGATGACATTCCAAACAATAACAAAGAAAGAGTACATTCAAAGTTCAGGCCATTTTCAGGTCTGCTCCAACTCTGATTTTCCACCAGCCATCTTATGTTTCCTTTGTTCATGGTTGCAAACTCCCAGTTGGCTAGGGATGTGTGAATAGGTTGCACCTATTCCAAACTGTGCCACTTTCAGTTAGCCGAGGATGTGTATAAAGTTTACTGAATGTGTAATGCCCAAGTGTCATAAACCCCCAAAGACTACCAGGGAGCCGAATCTGATGCAATTGCAGAAAGCCTGTATTTATTTCGGACTAGTCTGAGCTCAGTTCCACTCACCAGCAAGGGCATGGTAAGAGAGAGAAAGAACTCAACATATCAATGGGTTTTATAGGGAGGGTGGTGCCACTACCTTGGCTGACCTGATTGGTTGGGTTAGGCCTAGGGTCCAGTTACTGGGAGCTGGCCCCGCCCCGCGCTGCCCTCTCACCCTGCCCTGCCCTGTCACCCTGTCCTGCCCTGCCCTCTTAAATGTGTGAAGAAAGGGGACAATTTCTCCCTTGCCTTCTTTGGTTCTTTGGGGTGGTCAAATAATTAAAATAACACATGATAGGTTAAAAGGAAATCTGCACAAACAAAGGAAATTCAAAGATTGTTAGGCAAGATAAGGTATATATGTCATTCTGGACTAAGGGAAGTAAGGCAATTCAACAGGTAGATGAAAAGAGTTAATTTTGAGTAAATAAATGTTTGTGGGTCATGCAGAAACAATGGGACAGAAAGAAGACTTTAATCAAAATGGACCTTGTTAGCTTCATCCCTGTCTGTTATATCTAGTTCATATTTAACTATAGTTATGAATGATGATAGTTTTCTTACTGAGCAGGTCCTCTAACATCTTTTAGGAGGAATGTGAAAGGTTCTTTCCGAGTCTTTTTCCCCCCTAAAATAATCCTTATGCCATAGAGACACATTTTGGGGTGGCAAATTTTGCTCCCTTACAAGTGCATCTATGATTGCCTTATTACCTATATCCCAGGGTTGAATTTCCAGCTAGCCCACTGCCCTGGTGCTTGCCCTAATCAGAGCTACAGTTTCAGGCTGGCAAAACCCCAGTGTTTCTATGTTAGTTTGCCTCCGAGCTTGCTACTTATTAGTGGAAGAGCCACTGGCCAAGGTTATTTTGCCTTCTGCTCCAAATCAAGTCAGCTTCCGCTGACATTGAAGCTGCTGGTTATTTATGGCCTGCCCTACCCTATTAGAACTGCAGTGATGAAATAGTGGCAGGTGAGAGGGATGCCGTAGATCTCCACTCCTCTTACCAAAAGTTCAGTAAGTTTTCATGAATAAACTGTTGCTCAGTTTAAGCCTTTGGTATATTTTCAGAGACACCATTTTAAGAGGAGAGGATTTGGTGATCTCACTCTAGAAGTCTGATATATTCATTTTGTCTCTCCTGCCAAATTATAATTTGTTGAAGGAGGAGACCACAGTTGATTTTCCCCCCAGTATTTTTGTTTCTCCTTAGTGCCTAAATAGTGTTGCCATCTTGATCCTTCACTCATTATATCTGCAAAGACCCTGGTTTCCAAATTGGTTCATGTTCTGAGGTCTAGGAGGCCATGAATTTTTAATTGTATTTTTAAATGAATAACTACATTGTACAGAATGCTTTCCAATATTGCACTGCATATAACCTTTAAGACTTCTCTATGAAATGGGTTGACTAGGTCCCCCCCTCCACTTCTCTCCTTCACCCACTCCTCCTGCCTTCTCTATTTCATAGATGAGGATTCTGAAATTGTCAATCTTCTTTCCACTACTCTAGGTAGAAACCATCAAGTCAGGGTTGGGAAGTGACACTAAAATTTAAAATATAAAATCCTATATAATAAAAGGCACCATAAGTGAAATCATCAGAACAGCCAGAGACCGGAACCACTACAGCCTCTCGCTGGGCTGGCCCCACCCCCAAGCAAGCAGTTAGGGGCGATCAGGTAGGCATACCAGTGGTTAGGGGTGATAAGTATGCAGGCAAGTGGTTAGGGGCAATCAGGTAGGCAGGCCAGAGGTTAGGGGTGATCAAGTAGGCAGATGGCCCTTTGCAGAGTTGATCCTGCCCCCAGCAAAGAAAGAGGGGGGCCCAGGTCACCTTCGGCGACTCTGTGGCAGGTGATCGCACCACAGAGAGAGACCCAGACCAGCCAAGCCATCGCACCCCATGCCTATCACCTGCAGAGGGAGGCCAGCAGTGGCAGGAGAGGGGGGATAGTGCTGCATAGATGGCAAGCAGTGGCAGCAGTGGGAGTGGGGCCAGCTTCCTACAGCCAGGGAAAGAAAAGCCCCAATAGGCTCTGATCTCAGACCAGGCTTTGGGACCCTACCTGAGGAGTCCTGGATTGTGAGAGGGTGAAGGTCAGGCTGAGGGACCCTCCCCCTTCTGTTGAGTGCACAATTTTTTTGTGCAGAGGCCTCTAGTTATAAAATAATTAACAAGGGAATAAAGGCAGAGGGTGTCAATTCTTGTTCAGTGTGCTTGAGGGGAAAAAAAAGGATGGAATAATAAGTGGATGTGCTCTCCAGTCACACAGGTACCAAATAGCAGAGCAGTCACATCCAGAAGTTGATGCCCTGTGCCCAGCACTTCCTTTGGTGCACTCTCCTCCGGGGCTGGGAACTGCGGGTGTCATGAATCACATGAATCATGTAAATGCCCCATTCAAGTTTTTGTAATGAAATATTTTTGGTCACCACTAAGGAGTCCAAAAACCATAAAGACAATTGGATTTTAAAATTTTCCTTAACTGGTTAGGCTCAATGGGTAGAGCGTCGGCCTGAGGACTAAAGGATCCTGAGTTCGGTTCCAGTCAAGGGCACATGCCCTAGTTGTGGACTCAATCCCCAGTGGGGGGTGTAAAGAAATTAGCCAATCAGTGATTCTCTCTCATCATTAATGTTTCTCTCTCTCTCTCTCTCTCTCTCTCTCTCTCTCTCTCTCTCTCTCTTCTCTTTCTCTCTCCCTCTTCTTCCTCTCTGAAATAAATAAATCTATTGCAACTTAGTTTCTTCAGACACTATCTCTTCAACTTTCTCTTTCCTAGTTTATCTAATTTCACATCACAAATACTAATGCACAAGTAACAAAATTACTTTCTCAGTAACTCAGTTCTTTACTAGATTTATTTAGCATCTGATTCATATTTCCTTTTACAGGCATGATGTGGTATATATATAGTATCTCTAGGTGACTGTGAAAGAATTGAGTTAAAATAGGAACTCACTAATTACTTATTGGGGGCCTCCTATGCCACAATCCTGGGATTAGGGGAAACAAAGATGAGTATGACCAATTTCAGCTCTCGTGGATTTCATAAACATGTAGGGCAGCAAACCACTAGAGCAGGGCTCTCAAAGTGATCTCTAGACCAACAGCATAAGCCTCACCTGGCAACTTGATAGACATGCACATTCTTAAGCCCTACTGAATCAGAAACTGTGATTTCCGGGTGATTCTGATGTATATGGAATTTTGAGAACTGCTAGTGTGGATATATTTTAATATATCACAGAAAATGCAATAATAGAAAATGTTTACATAGCAGAGATACAAAAAAAAAATTAAAAAAAAAATCTTAACTCTATTATTAGTAGAAGTGAAGGGCCCAGAGAGGCTTCTTTTGTAAGAAACAGAAGCATCAGGAGTAGCAGGATTCTAAGACACTCTGCAGAATATGGTGTCTCTGATGTAGGGCTCAGTAACTTTAGGGTGAGACCTTTCCTGAAAGCCTTATAAAGATTTTGGGGAAATTACTGGTAAAATTGATTAATTGCAAGCAGTGTTTTTCAATTTACTGGTAGGACTTTGGAGTGGTTCAGGGGGAGCAAAAGGGGTCTCAAATTCAGATAGAATTGAAATGGACTTGAGATAGAATAAGTCTGCCTCATATGTATGAATAAAATAAGACCACCAGAGGGTGGCGATTGATTAAAAAAAGCAGGCAAGGATTTATTGAAAAACTGGCCAGGACGGCCGCCAGAGCACCACATGCAGGTGGACTCCACACGACCGCACTGTTGCAGGTGTAGGCAGTCCTTTTAAATGCCTAAGCCACAAGAATTTTCCTTTGTTCTAAATTCTAAATTCTAAAGACTAAATTCTAAAGACTGGGAACAGACCACAGGTTCGTTCCCAGTCACATCCTGTTGGACATTGGAATGTGGCCCTATCTTGTGATAGCCGATAACACAGAAGCAGAGCTCAGCAATTAGTCTCTAAAGGTTATCTATAGTTTCTACCCCTGAAGCTACTGAGTCAGTGGGAATCCATCTCCCATAGTTCTAGTCCCAGGCATGGGAAAATTGCTTTAGCCTCCAGGTCTCCACCTGGAAGCTGAGGTAATTATCCTGTGTTTAATCAGGTGCAGGAGCCAGACTAGAAGGGTTAAAATTCAAAGAGCAGTTTTTACCTGAATATGGTTGCTACCATATTTCAATGTGGTTGGTGAGAATTAGCACACTCAAGAAAATCAGGATAATGCCTGGGCATAATAAGTGCCATACAATGATAGGAATTATGATGTGGTTAAAAATCAGTTTTATAAAGGCATGGGGCACTTTTTTTTTTTTTTTTTTTTTTTTTTTTTTTTTTTTTTAGGTATGGGGTACTTTTTAGGTAAAGAAATAGAATGTATTTTTTCATGATAAAAGACTGACCCTAAGTTAAAAAGTGATCTAGACTATGATATGGTACTTATATAATAGAAAAATAAGGTTTAGAACATGTTAGTCCAAAATCAGTTGCTTTCACTAATTTCTTTCCTTTTTCATTCCAGAGACCTTTCAGTTTATTTCCAAAAGGCACCATGGTTTCCCCTTCAGTCTCACCTTTTTCCTGAATGGGATGCAGGTGAACAGGTTGAGCTCCTGCTGTGAATATAAGCATCGGAAAGGTTCCAGGCTCGGAGGCAAAGGAAGCTACTTTGGGTTTGTGTGTGTGGAGAAATCATCGCCTTGCTACAAGTACGGAAACAAATGTCCTTTGGGAGAGGGCATGTTTTGTTACATTTTCTTACACTTTTACCGACACATTTCTCTGCACAACTTGAGAAATATATCAGTGTAAATGAGCCTAAAATACCTAAGTTAAAGGTGGTTTAACTGTGTGTTGTACTAGACATCATAGAATATAAATTAGACTTCCAGATGTATAACGGGGATAAAAGCTGGTGGCGTTTTAAATCCTGTAGCCCTCTCTAACTGATCCTTTCCTTACCATGCATTCAGCTCTGTTTCTGAAGTGAAACAGAGAGGCTTTTTCTTTTTTCTTTCTTCCTTCTTTTTCTCATTCTTCTTAGGTTTTGGGCTGAGCCCCAAAGCATGTGCAAGCATCTGGCTTCTAAGGTCGATTATTGTAGGTTATGCATTTTAGAGCTGTGACTGCGTTATTGAGTGTGGCCCAAGTATCGTTCTTATGCCCCTAGTTTTAATCTCAAAAAAATGCATCATAAAAGTCAGCTTTGATTGCTGTTTGTCCATGTTTGAATTGAATATTTTGTTTGAAATTGTGAGACTTGCTTCAACCTTTATATTTTTTTCTGAAAGCACTCATGGAGAACTGAGTCTTAGGCCAAGCTTAGAAAGCAGCAGTGAACCAAGCAAAGTACCCCTCCTCCACATGGAGCCCATTCTAATGGGGAAAGGGCAATAACATCTCAATAAATAAGTTAATATATACCATATAGCAATAAGTGTGAGGGGGTTAAAGGTCAGGGGTAGGATTATTTTATATATGATGATCAGAAAGGCCTCTTTGAAGGGGCCAGAGAGACAGTGGGGCCAAGATTAAAACAACAGCTTTGACTTTCATTCTGAGAATGATGTAAAGCTTCTGTGGTAAGTTTTGGGTAACGACCTGTCAGGATTTGACAGTAGCTCCTCATAGGGAGGTTAATGGAAAGGTGGAAACTACTCAATCTAGAGGAGAATGGTAGAAAGATAAGTGATTGAATCCTAAATATATTTTGAAGATAAAGTTTGCAGATGGATTGAATATAGGACATGAAATTAAAGAGCAAAGTAAATGAGGATTGAAAAGGTTTTGGCTTAAACAACTGGAAAGATGTCCAGTTTACTATACTATGATGGAGAAGACCGTGGGGCAGGGGGAACGGGGACATGTTTGAAAGTGGAATGAAGGGATTTTAGTTTGAGGCAAATTAAGTTTAGGACATTTATTGGTTCCAATAAGAGGTCCAAGCTATGAATTTGAGAATGGTTTGCATATAAATGACATTTAAATCATCAGATGAGATGAGATCGCTCAAGAATGGAATGTAAATATAGAAGATACCTGAGTAATGAGCTCCAGGTCACCCCAGTTCAAAAATAAGGGAGAGCAAAAGGCCTAAGAAGGAAAGCCAGGGATTAGAAAGGAACTTAAAGAGAGTGATGTCCTAGAAATGAACAAAATGTTTGAAAAGAAAGGCATGACCAACAGTGCTGAATGTGTGGATAGAAGTAAATGGAGAATGAGGATGAGCATGATCTGGTAAACTGTTGGTTATTTTGGATCTTGGGACAAGTTACAGTGGAGGGTAGGAATGCAAGTTTGATTGGAGTGAGTTGAAGACATAATTGGAAAAGAGCTAAAGCCAGAGAGTATAGATATTGCAGACTTCCAGTGAAAATCGAGAACTACCCCTAAGAAGACTGACTCACTTTTATATTGAATAATCTTTGTTTTTTATTGTCACGTTCATAATAATAATTTTAGTTACTTTAAGGGCTGTCCAATTTCTTAAAAATAAAATTAATTTTAGTTCATTTTTAAAGTAATGGTTGCTGTAACTTTTACTATGATACAATAAAACAGTAGGTGATTCGAATATCAAATGGATTAGGAATTACCAGCTTACGGTTTGCAGGAAGCAAGAAAAGCTCAGCAGTGGATACTTACAATGTGTGGAGCTTAAACAGTTGTATTTATCCCACAACCATGGGAACTGTTCAAAAAGACGTGGTAGTTATTTTTAGTTACTACAGCAAAACACAGGAAGAAGGATTGCCTACCCAAATAGAAGACAGACAGCTTTGAGTTTAGTAATCAGCACCTCAAAGTATACTCAGAAGTCAACTAGGTAGTCAGTGACTAGGATAGCACAGATGTTACTCACTTTGTCCAATTCCCTTAAGCAGATGGGCGATAAAAAGTCTGTGCATGCGGTAGGGAGGCAAAAAAGCATCCACAGCGTCACAACATAAACTTAAAGTAATAGCATAGCAGAGGCTCCAAATCAATGGATTTGGTGTTGCCATGGATAAGGGAAGAACAGCTTGAACAGAAGGCAATACAGGTAATCATATTCTGTGAAGATTCATGACACCTTTATTTTAAGGAAAGTAATGTGCTAAGTACATCATCATGGAAGTCAAGTATTTATCATGCTTACTAAGGGTGAGGTAAGTGTATTCTTATCTCATTTTTTTTTTTTTTTATAGCCAGATAGTTACTTTGAGTACTGAGCCTTTTAGTTTTATTTTATGGAGAGATATTCAAAAGATAAGTAACATAACTAAGTTTTCATATTTGCTTGTTGGGTGAATTAATTTTTATGCTATTCTAGACTGGAGATGGCTGGAATTCAGTGAATTTTGAGTTTAAGAAATTGTCATTGGATATAATTCACCTTGAGGCAATTTTCAAATTTTATTTTTATTTCTACTCTTCCTGTACTGACAAGTCTTGATTGCATTCTGATCATTTTTTACCTACCCACTCTATTTGATTCAGTTCCCCGATAGCCATGAAACCTTTATGTAGATAAAGAGGGGTGTGTATTTCTAAAGAAGGACTGATAAGTACCAGCCCCCTTTCTCAGGTCATGGATTGTCTTTAGAGTTCGGTGAAAACTTCTCCAAATTCTGTTAATTTCTGGTGGGGAGTGGGAATACTTTCCCTGATGTAAACCCAGCAGCGTAATATTTATCTGTGTGGCTAGTCATCTGAGAGGACTATGCCTGTAACCTAACAATAGTTTTATACTTCAGGGTGAGGTCATGGGGTTTAACAGTCCTGAGTAGGAATCCAGTTCCGTCACTCACCTGCAGGGTGAGCTTGGGCATGCCATGGAACCTTTGATGCCTCAAATTCCTCATTGAAAAGTAGTGATGATAGTTCTCAATTTTTTGGTCTGTGGTATAACAAACCTGGTAAAATAATGCATGTCTAGGGTACACAGCAAAGAGCTTGGCACAGAGTGAGGGCTCTGTAATCTTATTATGATAACCATAAATTTTATTAATGTATTTGTTATCATTACTAGAATTTTTATTTTGACATTAACTTGAGAGATAGGGAAAAAAAAAAAAAAAACTATGGGAGAATTTACTCATGTGACTTGTAACTGATTTAAAAATTACTTTTAATGTCTTAATTCATGCAGATTATCTGCTTGACTCACCAAATTTGACTTTGAATGACTTTATGACCTCTACAAACTATTGCCAATTTAAAGAACAAAGCTTATACCCAGTGAAAGTCACCAAGGACTGTGGTACAGGTTTCAAAAGGCCATTCTAAATGCAATAATGACAATTCTATTAAAATAAGCATGAAGGTTCCTGAGGTGTTTATTTAAAGGGCACAACAACACATGACTGTATGTTTCTTAAAATATCAATCATATTTATTCAGAGTCAACCTGGTAGGTAAGTCTTTTGTTGTTGTGTTGTTGGAAAAATAAATTATTGTGGACTAAATGGCATCTTTCTTTTTCCTGAATATTTTTATCTCAGCTTTCCTGTGCTTGCAAACCTGGATGTTCTTTTGTCACATAATTCTCATTTAAGGTCTAGAATTATATACAGTATGACTCTGTTATAAGGCCAAAATATGTTTTAAGGCACTAATTTTAGTTTGGGACTAAAGTTCTTAGTAGTTGTTTTCTTGTTTATTATTGTGGGTAAAGTTATTAAGAATTTGTTGTGCTCTTTATGAGATTTTAATATTAATAAAAAGAAAAGAATTTACTTTAGTTAACTACTGGTATATACCTTACTGAAATATTTCTTATAATATTTCTTACAAGAATAAGAGGTACATGATTTAAAAGCTTTGCAGTTCCACTCTGCTATGTATAAAAGTTAATAAACATCCTATGTTAATATTTTTCATAGGTGCATTATTGCAATGGGCCTTGACAAAAAACCAACTTCGCCAAAATTTAGGAAACAAAAAAGCCTTGAGAAAAGAGAGGAACCAAAGGACGAGGGGAAACTGAGGAAGGATGGAGCATACATGGTCCCAAGAAGGAATGAGATGGAGGGGAGCAAAACCTCTTCTGCAGTCTTTTTTTCAGCCGACGAAGAAAAACCAGGGGTTGAAGATGTAAGAACTGCTGTAGAAGAAATGGAACATAAAGGAAAAGAACATGTTTGGGAAGATGACCAGGAAAATACTTTTAAATACGGTAAGGTCACGGGTGACACAGGGTTCTCTTGTTACTTCAGTTGTTCTTTTGCCTCAGTCTTTAAAATGTGATTATTGAAATTTGCAAAACTCTCCATCAAATGTTGTCACTGTTCTGGCATGTAGGTGAGCCTATGACACGTGAGGACTTCCTGACAGCCTTCCTCCACTGTTTCGTGTGGAGCCCCATGTCACCTACCTTAGAGGAGGGCAGGCCTAACTCTGCAGGGGCTGCAGGGGCTTGTGGGAGAGAGGAGAGGAAGGGGAGTTTAGGACTGCGGCATACACGAGGCAGAGGCTCTAGTCTATTCAATGCTGCAGAGAGAGAGAGACATTCTAACCAAATAGGATTTTGCCTATTAGTTTTTTTTTTTTTTAGTATTTGGGATTTTGTTTGTTTGTTAATCCTCACCCAAGGATGTTTTTCCATTGACTATTTTTTAGAGAGAGTGAAAGGGAGGAAGGGGTAAAGGAAGGGAGGGAGGAGAGAGAGAGAGAGAGAGAGAGAGAGAGAGAGAGAGAGAGAGAGAGAAAGAGACAGAGAGAGAGAAATTGATGTGAGAGACACATCCATTGGTTGCCTCCTGCACCCACCCTGACCAGGCTGGGGAATGAACCTGCAAACCAAGTACATGCCTTTGACTGGGAATCAAACCTGTGAACCTTCAGTCCACCGGCTGATGCTCTAACCATTGAGAACACTGACCATAGTTATTTTGTTGTTGTTGAGTATTTGAATGCACAGTACTTGCTTTGGTGATAATGGTGATTATTGATGGAATCAGGTAGGCACAATCTATATGATTGTATGGAGGTAAAGTATCCCGGCAACTGTTCACCTTTTTGTTTTCTTATTCTTCTCCTCCCCTCTTTTTTTCTCATCTCCTTCCCTCTCTGCCCTTTCCTATTCTCTCCTCTCCTTCATCATTCTTCCTTCTTTTTCTTCTCCTTCACTTCTTTCTCCTCTTCCTTCTTCCTCTTCTTTTTCTTCTTTCTCTCCACATACATAACTATAGTAGTAGTAACAGGAACACTAAAAGGGCCAGGCAGTGAGCACTAAGCCAGGCACTTTACACACTGTGTCATTTTATCCTCAGCATTTCACGTGGTAGATATTATCATTATTGCTTTCATTTTACAAGTTGGGAAACTGAGATTCAGTGAGAAAAGGTAGCAGAACTAGGATTCAAACCGTAGGAGAAGAAAAACTTTTTTCCTTTACCCATCTTAAGTTCATTGGCTGGGTCCTTAAAAGTTAGACTGACAGAAGAGATTAACAAGGAGAAAACACAGAAATTTATTAGCATACACATCACACAAACATGTGGGAGCACTTGCAGCTGAGTAACTCAAAGGAGTGGTTAGACATTGAGTTTATATGACATGTTAACAAAACAAACAATATATTTTTAGTGAAGTGACAGGACAAAGGAAAAGGACTGTGAGCGTCAGTCCAGGGACAGCAAATTGTGGAAAGGCAATTATACGGGGAACTAAAGATAGATAAGGTCTAGTTTTACTGATGTTCCTTAGGTTGACTCCTTTGGTGTTTATCTGGGATAAGGTCTAGAAGTTATCTTCTGTGATTAAATTCCATACTTCCTGCTAGAAAGGGAGGGACAACACTTTCACAAATGTATGTCTGGCTTTTAGGCAAATGTGTGTGTGTGTGGGGGGGGGGAGGGGGCGGGTAGAGAACTTTATTGTATCTACTTCTTCCCAGCTCCCTTCAGCCTACGCCAAAATTGTGTATTTCAGGGTGGCATGCTCTGCTACTCTTCAACACCCAGGTTTGTCAAATTCCAAACCCCAGGCTTTCAAACACTGTCCAACCTATTCTGTATAAGCTATGCTTGGTGTGACCTGATTGTGGGTGAAATATCAGAAATGGAGTTGCCTCAAAATCTCAGACATCTCTCATAGCAATATGTTTACTGATACATCTCCTAGGGCAGTGGTCAGCAAACTGAGCCAAATAGCAACAGTACAATAATTGAAATTTTTTAAAGCCAAACTTTTAAAACTTCTTCTAGCACAACTTCTTCAAAATAGACTTGCCCAAGCTGTGGTATTTTGTGGAAGAGCCACATTCAAGGGGCCATAGAGCCGCATATGGCTCAAAAGCTGCAGTTTGCCGACCATGATCCTAGGGCAAAGGAAATTAAGGATAAAAACAAATGGTACTACATCAAAATAAAAAGCTTTTGCACAGCAAAAGAAACCATCAACAAAAGGAAAAGGGAGCCTACTGTATGGGAGAATATTGGCAATGATACATCTGATAAAGGGTTAATATCCAAAATATATAAGGAATTTATACAACTTAAAAGGAAGACAAGCAATCCAATTAAAAATGGACAAAAGACCTACATGGATACTTCTCCAAAGTGGACATACTGATGGTCAAGAGACATATGAAAAAATTCTCAAAGTCATTGATTATAAAAGATGCAAATTAAAACCACATTATGGAGTTTCCTCAAAAAATTAAATATGGAACTGCCATTTGAGCCAGTGATCCCACTTCCAGGACTATATTCTAAGAAACCTGAAACGCCAATCAGAAAGATGTATGCACCCCTATATTCATAGAAGCACCATTGCAATAGCTAAGACAAGGAAACAGCCCAAATACCCATCAGTAGATGAGTGGATAAAAAAGCTGTGGAACATTTATACCGTGGAATACTATGCAGCAGTAAAAAAGAAGAATCTCCTACCCTTTGAGACAGCATAGAGTAACCTGGAGAGTATCCTGCTAAGTGAAATAAGTCAGTCAGAGAAAGACAAATATCACATGATCTCACTCATATGTGGCATCTAAGTAACAAAATAAACTGATGAATGGAGTGGACTCAGAGACATGGTAGCATGGAACAAGTGAGGAACCTCAGAGGGAAGGTGGGGAGGGTGGGAGGGTGGGTGAGAAGAGATCAACCAAAGACCTTGTATACACATATGCATAACCCATGGACACAGATAATAGGGTGCTGAAGACCTGGGGAGGTGGGCGTAGGTGGGTTGGAGGGGGTCAATGGGGGAAGAAGGAGGACATATATAATATCGATACTTCTAACAATAAAGAACTATTGAAACAAAGAAGGAAGGAAGGAAGGAAGAAGAAAAGGAGGAAGGAAGGAAGGAAAGGAAAGAAAGAAAAAGAAAGAACTGGAGCTGCCTGAGAATTCCCCTTATACACGGAAGTCAAAGCCTGGATTGCAGGAGCGAAGGCCTTGGGCCGAGGATGGCCTGTGAAGAGGCTGCATCAGGAAAAGGTACATCCTCTGTATCTTCCTCACTGCTACTTGTTGCTGCCCAAGGGTTTCAGTGATCCAAGGCAGTAACCCCAGGGCTGGCAGGACACTGTATTCTATGTTTCTTTGTTACTGAAATTGTGTGACTACTTTCAAAAAGATTTTCCTTCTAACACTTTGACCCAGTTACCGCCCCACCCCTCTCTCTCTCCATGATCCCTTCTAGTCTTGATTGTTATCTTAGACTGAAAATTCAGAAATATCTATAGCAACATCAATAACAGACAGATTCACAAATGGGATGTTTTCCCATTTGTTTTTAAATCTCAAGACCTGTATGTTTATTAAAGCCATGGTCAGTAGAGGCTTTTCATTTTCTTCATTTATTCTCTCTCAAACCAACATGGCCAGTGCTGTGAGTAGCATAGTTGATGCCTAAAATTCAGCTTTTTCCAAGATTTTTTCTTCTGGGTTGGCTAGTTAATGGACTTTAATTGCCCATTTCCATTAAAAAAGAAAAGAAAAGAAAAAAGCAGCAGCAGCAAGGCTTCAGCTCTCTGCAGAACAGTGGCTGATGGGAAGGGCATGAGATGCTTGAGGAGGTCAGCGAGGGAGGGTTGCAGCTGGATTGATGTTGACCTCGTGCTGACTCTCTTCCTCATTAGTGAGGATGGTAAACAACAAGCTAATTAAATTCTCAGGAAGCAGGAAGATGAGACGGGGGAGAAAACGAAATCATGAAAAAGAATCCAGAAAGCATGCCACCAGTTCATTCATATTGAAAACACGGGAGTGGATGACACAGAGGAGGCATGCTTTGAGCTGTAATGCAAAGAGAATGTGGTTCATAGAAGGCTGATAATTAGATGCAAAGATAGTGGTGGGTAAAATAAAACCAAGGCACCTTACATTTCATACTTTGGGGGAAAATTCAGATGATCCTGTAAAATAGAAGGCAGGGACTATTTGTGTGGTCACTACATGCTCCTTCAATTTTCTGCTCTGCTTCAATAACATAACTGTAATTGTGTTCTAATTGTGGGCATTTGTACATCGCTAGTTTTAATCAGGTGCTTCCATCAAAGTATAGAGCACACACTGTGTGTGTAATTTCTCTTGTTCTACAACCAACTCCCTCCATTCCCAATCACAATCACAATCCCTATTACTACTAAATGCCTAATATTGAGTAGGCACCTACTGCTGTGGCACTGTACTAAGCATGTTCCAGGACTCATTGCTTTTAATACCACAGCTTTTTGAGGCAGATTGCCCAAGTCACACAGCTAGTGAGTGTTTGAACTGGGAGTTGGACAGGTGACTGCCTGACTCAAAAACTCTCATCTTTCCCCATTGCTGGAATTAATCTACCTAGTATTGCTGGTGGAATTACCTAATTCACTCATGTGCTCTCTGGCCCCCTGCTTATTCTGTGACCAGGAGCAAATATCTGAAAAATAATATGTGTGTGTGTTTCTCCTTGTGTGTGCATTCTGTGGCTAGCCTAAACTACTACTACTACTACTTCTTCTTCTTCTTCTTCTTCTTCTTCTTCTTCTTCTTCTTCTTCTTCTTCTTCTTCTTCTTCTTCTTCACAAAGTTTTCCACAATCTCCACATGCCTTTCTGCTCTTCTTTGATTCCATTCCACTCATTTTGTACTGTTCATATAATTACTCAAATGCTATATAAAAATCCATTGCAATGGAGACCAGTAATATTGAAACAAACAGTACTTAGGACTATGTATACAAACTTCTGTGAGTGCAGTAGCTCTTCAGTAAATATATCTTATTTTCTCAACAAAAAGTGGAGATTCCTTGATGGTAAGTGTTGTGTTACTGTAATATGCTTTATCTTCCAGTGTTTTCCTCTTCCACATCAAGGCTTATTGATTGATAGCTAACTGGGCTAAGTGAAGAATTATTCTATTATGTAGCCTGAAAATTTAAATCACAAGATTCATTTGTTTTTATTTTATTTCCTGTTTAGTTCGTGCAATATTAACCAAATTCTTCATCTTCTTGCATTACTTTATAATTCTTACTGATAATAATTTTCACTTAATGTTCTTCATATTAAATCTCTTTCATGAAAATAATCTTGTGATAAATTCTCTTTGCTTTTATTTAAGTTTCTGATTTCACTTTTTCTCTCACATCTCCTTCATACAGTCTCTGCATTAACAAGGTGTTTTTTTTTTTTAATATATATACACATAGGGCTTGCATTTCTAAATTAAGTTTCTTTCATTAGACAGAGTGGATAATTCTCATGTAATTACCCAAGAGGCCCCCACCACTGGAAAATAAATCAGAAGAACTAATAACTAAAACATTCAAAATAGGGAAACTTACTTTCCTTGTAATTTTCACCTTAAAGATAATTGTTTATTTGCCTAATTGATTCTGCATGAAATCCTTTTACTCTCTATCCTCGGCATGTTGTTACTCCAAGATTGTTAGGTTTTAGTGAAAGAAAAGGGGAACAATTAAATAAGAAAGGTGAAAATTTCTAACCACAAGGGACAGCTGGAGTTCATATGATGTGACAATTTTTTTTTGCTGCAGATTTGTTGTGCCACTGCAGGGAATGAAGCAAATTAGTGGCTGGAAAAAGTAATATCCTATTCTATACGAATTTTTACTCTTGGAATATAATTATTTAATTGATGTAGGGATGAATAATGCATATGATAGCCGTCTTGACTTAAGTATAGAATTTTTCATAATGCCTTTTCTTGAGGTCCATTTGGTTCTCAAAAAAAATGTGCTTTTCACAGTGTTACTTCTCAGGGCCTTTGGACTTGATTAATTACATTTTTCCACTTCACTATTCATTAACTTGATATCCAAATATTTTGAACATTTTTATATGAAATATGACCTCACTGGATCTGCAAATTAACTTTCATTATTATGATCCTATTCTTTTCATTTTTAATTTATTTCTAATTTATTGTTTTCTATCAAGTTCTCTTATCCATTTTGGTTATTGTTAGATGATGTCCTTTTGTAAATGAACTCTTATTAGGTTTCAGACTTGTCATTTGGAGCCTCATTTCTTTTGTGCTCTTCTATATATATAACTGATTGCAATCTTGATCATTCACTGTTAGTATCCCATGTTCACTAATTGTGTGAAATAGAAGTGAAGAAAGACTCTAAGAAAAGAGGATAAGCCAGTCAAAGTTCTCATTAAAGTGAATTCAGTTAAGCCCTAACTGGTTGGGCTCAGTGGATGGACCAAGGTCTCAGGTTCAATTCCAGTCAAAGGCATATATCTTGGTTGCGGATACATGCCCAGGATGGGGTGTGCAGGAGGCAGCTTATCGATGTTTCTCTCCCATTGATGTTTCTAACTCTCTAGCCCTCTCCCTTCATCTCTGTAAAAATCAATAAAATATATTAAAAGTGAATTTGGTTAAGTATTAGGGATTCTATTTTCATTTTAATAGTGGAGTATTTTTTTTCTCAGAATATGAAGAAGATTTTGAAGTAGACGAGGAGCAACAAGATGAGAAAGCTAATAAAAAAGGACAGTCTGATGATCAAATGAATGAAATGTTAAAGTCACCATCAGATGATGAAAAAGATAATTTAGACCCTGAAAAAGACAGTGACATCTCGTCACAGAAGGCACCAGATGTTGATGACAGTGTGAAAGATGAAAGTGATGGATGCTCTGATAGTGAATTGGAAGAAGATAAGCAAGGTAAGTCATTTAGTTTATCATATGTCATTGACTGTTGAACAAGTGTGCATTCCAATTTTCTTCTTTATGTTTAACTAGAGGCTCAATGCATGAAATTCATGCAAGAATAGGCCTTTCTTCCCCTGGCTGCCAGCACTGGCTTCCCTCTGGCACCCGGGACTCAGGCTTCCCTTACAGCCCCAGCTTTGTTCAGAAGGTTTTCCAGTTTAATTAGCATATTATGCTCTTATTATTATAGATGAGATAGTCTTCTTTTAAGGGAATATTTAGAACATGTTTCCCCAACCTGAGGGTGCCGATCAATCAGTCTTCTGTAGATATCCAAATTATGGAGTGACTTATTAATCCTTCTTTCCTTAGTTTGCTAAGATTTTTCAGCTGGATATCAGGTAAAACTTATAGTGTTTTACCTGCCTTTTACTTAGAAAAAAAATTTTTTTTATCCTAAACTATCCCCCCTTATACAACATACACATATGCCATTTTGTGGCTCTGGAAAAATGAACAGTAGCCTATACTCATTAAAGGAAAAGTTGAAGATTCCTGTCTTAGGTTCATGTGGGTTTTTTTTTGTTGTTGTTGTTGTTTGTTTTCTCAATTTACCTTGAACACATGATAATGGCATATTAGTTTCATGAAAGGATTATTTCTCTTGGCAAAAGTGGCCTCCACACAATCTTCAAACTTAAAATAACTCTGAATGGTCTCAGGGAAAACACAGATCTTTTCAATTAGAGAAAGAAACCTTCATCATTTGAGACTATCTTAAATTTTAAACCTTTTTAAAGATTTTAATTCACTGAAGTTATGTCCAATCAAAGAAGGAACCCATTTATGTTAGATTAGAGAATGAGGTCATATGATGAATTTTAAAAAAATATATTTTATTGATTTTTTTACAGAGAAGAAGAGAGAAGGACAGAGAGTTAGAAACATCAATGAGAGAGAAACATAAATCAGCTGCCTCTTGCATACCCCTTACTGGGGATATGCCCGCAACCAAGGTACATGCCGTTGACCAGAATCGAACCTGGGACCTTTGAGTCTGCAGGCAGACTCTCTATCCACTAAGCCAAACCGGTTTGGCTATGATAAATTTTTGAGTTACTCTTCACTTTCCTCATTGTTTTCACCTCTCAAAATTTGTTCTAATAAAATATTAAAAGTTGAATTTAAGGACTATATTAGGATAATATAAAATAAGGGTAAACTAAGTAATCAAGTATTCACCCAAGCAAATATTTATAGTTCTGCTCTCTTCAAGAAAAAATTCAAGTAAGCCTATTCTAAAATTCTATGCACACATATACAAGATGATAAAGGACAGAAGTTAGAGTTAAAAAGAAAATAATTTTACTAGGAACAACAGATGAAATTATGAGTATACTTGTACCAAAAATTTAATCCTAAACTTTCTGACAGTTAAAGTAAAAAGTAAGACATAATGTAAATATTTTGAATGGTGTTACCTATCAATAAACTTGAAAACAAAATTTACTATATTTTTATTACAATTTAAAGAACCAGTCAAGATTAATGGTCAAACATTGAAAGTGTTTTTATAAAGTCTTAAAGTAGGCCTTTTGCATAAATTCTCTTTCTACTTACATTTTAAGTTTCTACATGTGCCTAATATAAGTTGTTTTCTCAATATTGGGTAAGTATATATGAAATAGAGAAAGTTAAAGAATTCTATGGAAAAGTGGAGTCATCTGAATCAAATTTCAAATAAAATATACAAATGACTTGAACCTGGAAAAGGATTGAAACTATGTTTGCATATAGGTATAACTGGTTCAAAATACAGGACTCAATTTTTTAATTTTTTCAATAATGGTAAGAAATTAGCAAGTGTTGCTTTCATAAAGATTCAGTACATTCATTTAATATATGGTCATCTGATTTATTTTTGTGCTACATAATTAGCTTGATTTCTTGGATCAGACAGATTTTTTTTTTCTAAGATAATTTTTTTTTTTATGTTCTGACAGAGGGTGTAGGCAATACTTGGATCTTTGGAAAACTTAAGCCATTTAGACATGTAATTATGGAATAACTGACAATGATATGTAAGCTTTAACACTGAATACTGCTTACATGTAAATAATTGGAATTCTGTGTTTAGAAAGGCATTCTATAGTTATTGTTTATTAAGATTATATTTTGTGCTTAAGCATTGTGCTAAATATTTTCAATGAATCATCTGATTTACCTCAAACAATAAGCAGTAACTTTCTTTTTATCTCTATTTTACAAATAAACTTGGAAATGGTGAGATTAAGTAACCCTCACAGTCAGAACTCACATTACCAACTGCAGAGCCTGAATTCTAGAAAATACAAATATAACATTTCTCTAAATAAGAAAATCTCCCGTTACACAAAATTAAAGCAAATCCCCTCAATAAAGGGATTATATTTCCTTAAGAATAAACATTTTAGAGGCATTTATCTTGAGCTTTTTAAAATCCTGTTCTCTAGTCTCTATTTTTGTTCCCTTGTTAGTTTTGTTTTATTTTTAAACAGAGTAAATAGAAATGGAGGTTTTTAAAATTTTACCCAAGTTCCTATTTCTCCTCTCTGGATGGACTTCCCAATCTATTCCCAGACCTTTTGCTCATTTCCAGCTCATACCCCTTCTCCTTTGACACATTTCTACTCCATCAGCTTTCACTGAGACTCTTTCATTTTATGAGACTCTATCATTCAGTAGTTTGTGTTGGTTATTTATGTGTTGGGTTTTTTTTTTGTTTGTTTTTTTTGTGTGTGTGTTTTTTTTTTGTGTGTGTGTGTGTGTTAAATTTTGCTCAAGGTAATTATGCCAGTTCAGAACACACAAATCAATAGAAATTGATAACATCTAAGTGAATTACTCAATGAAAGCTAAGATGTTACCTTTGTTATTGCTCACAAAGATGATTTCCTAAAAGATCTTTTGTAAATATTAAGCAAGTACAATTAATTTTTTTTAACACCAAGAACACTAAAGTACTTTTGTTAGTGTCATAAAATCTATTTACATTTATGCTTTATGATTATTATTGGAATTTTATTGAAAAAATTTGTACAAACTTTGCTGCATTATATAGATATAGAATATAGAATATTTTAAATAGATATGTAGTGAAAGCTATCAGAATGTATAAAATCTAGTCCATAAGTATTGAGGAACTTAAGAGCCAATAATTAAATTGGCCAATAATTTTGTTTTAATTTTCAATAATGTTCTTAAGCTATACTTTTAGAGAGCTCCTTTGTATCTTTGGTATATATATATATATATATATATATATATATATATATATATAAACTTTGACATTATTTTGAAATAAAATGTTTGTTAATCTTTCTTTCTTCCAATGCCAGGTTTGTTTATTTTTCCATCCCTTTGTTTGTTTGTTTTTGTTTGTTTGTTTGTTTGTTTGAAATACATTTTATTGATTTTTTACAAAGAGGAAGGGAGAGTGATAGTTAGAAACATCAATGAGAGAGAAACATCGAACAGCCGCCTCCTGCATACCCCCTACTAGGGATGTGCAACCAAGGTACATGGCTTTGACCGAATCGAACCTGGGACCCTTGAGTTCACAGACCGATGCTCTATCCACTGAGCCAAACCGGTCTTGGCCATCCCTTTGTTTTGATTACCTGACCCTATGTTATTTAAAAGCATGCCTTTTAGTGTGTGTAATATCAGAATTACAGATTTCAAGTAGCATGTATTAAAAATGATAATGTCATGATAGATTCCTTGGCACACGCTACTGAAAAGCCAGACATCACTTCATCTTCAAAAGCATAAGAGGCATATTGTGACCACTGAATCCCAGACACCAGCACATCCCTTTTATTGACATGATTAAGAATCCTGCTCTTAGTATTTGGATGTGTTTCATTTGAACCTGCCTGCACCTGTTCCCAGAGGGCAAACAATTGCCCAGGCTGTCACTCTAGTGACAAGTTGGCCCCATTTAAACTGCCAGCTAACAATTGCGCCGCCGGCCTTGATGAATACACCATGCTGGACAGGGTGTGAGTGATAGAGTGCTAGCGACTGAAAGCTGACTCAGAGAAGACCCTGCTTTAGGAATGATGTGTGAGACTTCCCATCGTGTATAAAGGACAGCTTCCTTTTCTCTGTTTTTGTGTTGGTAACCCCAGCTACTAATTCGCCAAATGAAAACGTATTGTCATCGTCATAAATGAATGTTATAAGGTTGAGGGGACAGTGTCATGATACTGAGAATATACTTTCAACCTTTTATGGACAGTTTGGATGATAGTGCCTAGGAGTAATAGCTAACGGCTAAGGAGCTCCTTATGAGAAAGATGTGAGAAGAGTGTGGGGCGTGGGGAGACAGTGTTCATTCCTCGAATACAAAGAGAAGAACTTAAAAATTAAAGCAAGTATATTTTACTTAAAAAGAAAAAAAAGATGACATTTCTCTTGTGCTATTTTCCAGTCTGTTGAAGAAATGGGTCATATAGAATTTTAAAATCTCAGAGTCACAAACATATTCTGTTTACTTGACTTATGATTGCAAGGATCTCTCTCTTCATTTCTTGGCCTACGGGCTTGAAGAGACACATATGAGGAAAGGCTGATCCTTCTATCTGATATTATACATGCTATGAAACCACCCTTTGTGGACTTCAGTGTAACTAGTGTGCTGGTTGGGCCAGAAAATATTAAGGGAAGATTGTAGGAGGCCTTTTGATCAAAGTCTATATGTGTGATTTTTGCATGATTAGTCAAACTTTAATTTTTCTTAATGGCAAGAATTCATTAATTGATGGGACTAGCAACAGACCCAGAACAACAGATGAATGATTACTCTGACACATGTTTCTGTGAAAGAGAGGCTAAGGGACTACTGGGGTGTAGCCACCAAGTAGCTTCATTTGCCTGCCTCCTTAGGCTTTTACTGTAACAAAGCTTGAACTAAAATTAACTAGTAGATACTATCAGCAGGGTAAGTAACCTTGAGAAAACATATTCGTCCCTTAAGCAAGGATCTTTTGAAATGTAAACATAAAGATTCCAGGGTTGGGACTTGTTTGGAAAAATCAAGTCAGGGGCTGCTGCCTTACTACGAAAGGTCTCCCAGAGGCCTCCGACCTGTCAGAGACTCCTCCTTACAGACTTTCCCCCAAGTCCCCTGCTTCCCCACACTTAATCTATGTTTACTTTTCAGCTGTTGAAGTAGGAAGTCATAGTAAATATTTAAATGAAGCAGCATCTTTTAATTCACATAAAATACTTTCCATGAAGTATTTTTTTTTTTTATAGCTTTGAGATTCAAAGCAAAGGCACTGTCCAGGCACCCAATAAAATCTTATAGAATGCCGGGCTGGTTGACTAGATTAATGGATAGATATAAAAAGACTTAGGCAATAGCATATTGTGACACATGATTTTATTATATTCTCGGTATTTTAAGTGTTTGTTTTAATGTTTATAAAGTAAAAGTAGAGGTAAAGATAAAGGAACTTTCAGGCTTTTTTTTTTCTTTTTCTTTCCTTCCTGCTATGTCTGTAGTTACCTATAAATATTTATTCTTACAAAGTAATGTATATATTTATCTCATTGATGAATCGAGTAATGAATGACCAGTAAGAAGCTACATACTGTCTCATAATACTAATAACTAGTTACTATTCATAGATGGAATTTCATTATTTCTATTTATATACTCATTAAGTATATATTCATTTGACAATATTTATTGAATGCAATCGCTTATATAATTAGCATTATTGTACATGAAAATATTGACTGAACCGCAGTATCTAATATAAACAGATTTTTATGGATATAAATATAATCAACAGAAATATTAATACAAATAATAGTATAAATATAAATTGATGTGTCATAGTTAATTTGAAGAAAATAGAATCAGAATTTATGTAGGTTTTGCTTAGTCACTCCTTTAGACTAAGGAATGGGAAAGAGATACATAATGAGTTCCAAAGAGTATTGAGCCCACTGAGTTGGAATATATGGTATGTCATTGGTGATCTAAATTTTCTGTCTTATGCTGTGTAAAATAGTGGTGATGCAGAAGAAGGAAGTTATCAATGAATAGTTATCAATGACATGAAAAGAGAGGACAGTGAAGGATTTAGTGACTGACTGAACGTAGAGAAAGAAAAGTCAGTTTCTACTTGGGTCATAGAATGGGGCACCGCACTTGTCTGGCTTTAGCCAAGGTCTCATGCACATTTTTTTAAACCAGGAAAACTTAAGAGCAGATGCTTTCAGCATCAATACATAGAGGTAACACTGGAGAGACAAATGGAATTGGGTGGGAGGCAGAGTTGATTTCCAACATGCCTCTGAGATTACTTGTTCCCTCTTAATGACAAAAATATTTATAAATATACCCTCAAAGTTTCTTTATATAAAACTTGCTTTATTTCTAAGAAAATAAATAAAATTAGTGTTAAATTAGTGTTGAAAATCCAATTTCACGGCATTTCAACACATTTTGAGCATTTTTTTATATGCCAAGTCTTGCCCCAGTGTCTGTATGAAAATAAGAGTAAAGAATGAGAGTGAAGCAAAATTATATGGTGAGGTTAGATAGAAATTCAAAAACTGAAATGAGTTTATATGAAGTCAGCTATCCTCACCTGTTTGAGGCTATTCATTCTCCAAAGGACTGACTCAAAATTAAACCAGAGTGTGAGTTAGCCTTGGGAATCAAACGATTAATAGAAGCTACTAAAGAAATACAGAGAAGCACTCTTTTTATTTATTTATTTATTAGTGAACAACTCTCAGAGCCAAAGTGGGACTCGACATGACACTATTGAGATGGTAGAGATGAATATTTTTGGAAGTCTGAAACAAGTATGACCTTGTGCCCTAGCTAATTGTGCAATTAATGAAGGCCATTGATCAAACCACTAGCCAACTGGAGTTGTTTTTAATAGAAAATGAAACAAATGTGAGATGCTTGAGAGGAGGGGACGTCATCATCAAAAGTTTTTGAATTAATACGCAAAACAGCATATCCTGATTTCATAAAGTGGAGATAAAGAATAAGAGCTGAAGTTTGTGATTCTTTTGACAAACTGTGGTCATCTGGTACCTGTCAAGGTGGTTGGGAGATAAGAATAAATGGACTTGTACTTAAGGGGTTGCTTAAAGGCTTTCCAGAGTTTGTTATTTACTGCTGTGCAGCAGCTCTCAAATCTTTGTGGAAACTCTGATATGTCTCTGAGACTATACTTAAAATGCTAAGACCTGTCATGGAGAGCTGTTGGGGATAGTGGGAGTAAGGGAAAAGGATAAGAGTGAAGACAGGTAATTCTTCCCTTAAACTCTGCATCAACTGCTACAGCCATCTGTGCAGCTGCCAAACAAAAATAAAAGAAACAGAAAAAAGAGAGAGAGAGAGAGAGAGCCACGAGCACACAGAAAACAGAAAATAAGAAAACTGGGCAACATGCAAGTGTAGGATACAACATTTGAAAATATATTCTATTAAAAAAATTATAAACACATATGTTGGTTAAAAAGTTAAAAACAAGTTTGTACTTCTCTGGTCCTCAGCAGCAATTGCCATGACTTGTAGGTTAGGCTGTGTATCATCCTGACTAAGATTCAGTGTGTATGTCACTTTCCTGGAGATTTTTTAAAAAGTTTTTTGGGGTAGTAATTACTAACCTATTGTTTGGCTGTGTTAAGTCTTTATATTGCACATCTGTAGTAGCACATAAATGTACTGCCTGGATCTCCTAGAATCTCTCTTAAAGATTCAGTGTGCCTATTCCCAGCTTCTCACCCTTTGCCCTCTTCAGAGGATAGCCATGGACAACTCAATTTCATCTTGAGGCAAAGAACCTAGGAGAGCCATGGAACTTACACACCCCTAGAGTGAACTAGACCAGAGTATGCAAGCCAGCTCATCCTTTGAGGAAGGAAAAATGCTAATATAATTTAGACTCCAGAAGTCCCTCTGAGATAAGACTGTTTAAATGTTTCTTGAGATAGCTCATTTGATTGACTTCTTCCATTCCCTTTCCTGTTCCCTCACACCTGTAAGAGCTTTTCCTGAAGCATTTATATCCTTGATATATCACTTATCCATGAATCCTCATCTCAGCATTTGCTTCTGAGGAACCTGAAATAATACACCTTCTTCTAGATACTAGTACACACACACACACACACACACACACACACACACACGGGCATCAACTAAAAAATTTACTGTGTTTCTTCTATAACAAAATATACTTACAAAGGTTTTCCAATAAAGTGACACTCTCAAAATACAGTTAATTTTTAGTTAAATGTGATTTCTATAGAAAACTTCTATAGATTCATAGATTACGTAGGTGTTTTTTTTTTTAATCATGACAACTATGCAGAACATATAGAGAAAGGGGATCAAATCTACTAAACTATATTAACTAATCTCAGATTAGTTATTAACATAATTCCCACAGTTAAACCAGTTGCTTTATAAAAACAATGACACCACACCATTTTAATTATTTGATATTGTAGATATAAAAACTGCATCGTCCTCCTCATGCAGAAGTCACCCCTACTCTAGCAGCAGTGAAGACGAATCTGTACTGGAGGACAGGGAAATGCATGCTGATGATAGTGCAGATGAAAGTGACAGAAGTTCATCTTCTCAGGAGTTGAGTGGAAATGATGAGCCAGGAAAATCACACCTTCCCATTGAGGATTCCTTAGAAATTGAAGGTAAAAAAATCATAAAAGCAGATGTGGGGATCAAGCCTCGGCCAAGAGAGGAAAGCTTGGAGAATGTTCTTGAAGAAACAGAGAATGGAACCCAAATGATTGCAGATGGCTTATCTGAGCAGTCCTGGGAACATGTTTCCAAGGAAGAAAAGGAAAATTACAGGAATGAGCTTTGGAAAGGAAGCACTGCTGAGGGGAAGGACAAAAAGGCAGGTCTCTATAGGGTGGAGAAAGGTGGTAAGTATGGCCATTGAGTTGGCCTGCCATTGTCCCCATGCATGGAAGTTGATTTTGGTCACTGCATTCTGCCAACGCTTGGGAAATACTAATGTGATAATGCCAGAGGGATTCAACTGTGTTCTATTTCTCTCTTTGTCACATAATCATACATGTATTTTCAGCTTGCTGTTTTCCTTCTATTGCATTTAAAAAATAACTTGATAAGTCTTATATGGCCTGTTTCCTATTTTCTGTAAATGTCTTCCTATAGTAATTCTGTCTCAATAATCAAATAAAACCCAGCAGGTGTCTTAAAGACAAGGGTGTGTGTGGCTTTTTAGAGGTTAATGCCAGCAATGCTATGTGTCTTTAGCTATATATGGACTCATAGACGTCCATAGCTAACAATGATAAGTGCTTACAATGTATCAGTTCTAAGCTCTTACATATATTAACTCATCTAATCCTCACAACAGCTCAGTCGCCATAAGTTAGGTCCCATTATCAATTTTTTTTATTTTACAGATGACAAAATCGTAGCTAGAGGAAGTAAGTTTGTAAGGATCGTACAGTGAATAAACATTCCTAGCATTTTAATTTAAGCAGAGCTGTTGCAGTTTCAAAAAATGTCCTATTGCACCTGTGCAATAAACCTATTTAGATTTAGATAAAAATACAAAAATTTTATAGAAATCTCCAAACTTCACTTTGAGTGCTTCTGTGAAGCTTAGTCACTTCCTGGCCCAGGGGGTTCCTGGGTGTATAGGACAGTCCATTTGACAGGGAAGAGGGGGAGTGTCCCAGAATAACCAGATCCGGATACCTTAGACACATGAAAGATCTGCTTTGAAGGACAGTGGAAAAACTGGGTTATGTTCTGTGAACAGTCTGATTCTGCCTGCCAGACATCAGGCTCTCCTGTAGCTGCACCCGGTGCCCTGTAACTCGCATCTCCATCCTTTCTCTGCTCTCGTTCATCTTTCTCCCTGGCCAACCTGGCAGGCATTCTACTTGATTCCAAGATAGAATTTGTTTTCACATTTAAATATTACTAAAAACCCATCTGTGTCTTAAAAGTTATACATGCTTTTCATGTGCATATTTCTTTTAGAACCTTAAAAGCTGTTATTAAACCATGGTGGCCTACATCTAGGAATTGACAAGGTCATTTTTCACTTCAACCGTTATTACTGACCTTCTGCTACGTACAGGGCACCGTGGTCAGTAAGGAATGTGTAAGAGAGGATGCCTCCCAGAAAATGCTGAAAGGAAGGCTTGGCACACCAGTAACGGGACAAAGTTCAGTAGCCATAGGTAAAACCAGAGAAGGTACAAATGCTATGGGATTTCAAAGGAAGAGAAGTCCCATTCGGTTAAAGACATCTTCTAAGTTTTTGTGAAGGACCTGTTGAGGAAAGCTTTAAAGGTTAAATATGATTTTGAAGGTGAACTACAGGAGGATAAAAGCATCCAAGACAGTGGGATACAGCAAAAGATAGAACCTTCGAGGAGGTTAAAAAAATAAACTCTAGAATGAACAATTTGCAACCTTCAGCCCATGAGCCAAATCTGGCCTCGTACCTTTCTCTTTGCATTACCCCTGAGCTGCTTCTTTTTTTTTTTATGATTGGGAAAAATTCAAAAGAAGAAAAATACGTTATAATGTAAAAATTATATTAAATTTACATGTCAGTGTTACAAAATAAGTTTTATTGGAAAAGAGTCATGCTCATTCATTTGCATATTCTCCATGGCAGCTGTTGCACTACGAGAGCAAAGTGAAATAGTTGCAACAGAGACCCTGTGGCCTATAAAGCCCTAAGAATTCACTCTGGATTTTTACCAGAAAAGTCTGCCAACCTCTGCCCTATGATTATAACATAGGTATCTACAACATTGTCAAGAGGATTTTGCCATAGATGAGCTAGGAGTCTTATTAAAATACTAGAGTCCTGATGTACAAAATTCATGCAAACTTGTGTGATAAGTTTGTGGGTAATAAGAAATTACCCACAAACTTATCACACAAATACTCACTTTTAACATTTGGTCAGGCTTTTTATTTCTAAACTTAGGGTTACAAAGTTATGTTGTCATTCTATATAATAAAATTCTAATATTCAATCAATCGAATGGCAGAATGATGGACAGAACAACCAATCACTGTGATGCACACTGACCACGGGGACATGCTCAATGCAGGAGCTTCCCCCAGCCAGCAGGCTCCAGGCCAGCCACTATGGGTGCTTGTGGGGGGGGCCCCCAATCACCCTGCCAATTGCCCCACAGATCAACCCTAATCACCAGCCAGGCCTAGGGACCCTATCCATGCATACATTTTGTGCACCGGGCCTTAGTATTTTTATAAAATGTATATATTTTTATTCTTAACTTTATATCCTAAGAATTTTTATGTTTTAATGTAATCTTTCTTAATATGATCAATGTCTGCTGCTTATTACATCCTGTAATAAGGTTTTCTCATAATTTTATGATTTTTTTTATTGTTAGATATTTATACTTTTTTCTATTTTCATTACTATTAATAGAATTCTAGAATATTACTACTTATGGTAATTTCAAAATTTTAATTTTTAATTATTTTCTTAGGGTAGGTAGCAAGAAGTATAATTTTTGGATTTAAGTTTATAAAGATTTTATGGTTTTGGCTAAATAAAAATTTTTTTTGGCAAAAGATTGGTTGGAAAGTTTAAAAAATATGGAACAGATGAGAATAAAATGAAAGGTGAAGTCTTACTTGCCCAGCCTCTTCTCTTTACCAAGAGTTAGATTTAATGGTAGATAACAGATTTTATAAAGGATTCCAGAAAATTTTCTTTATATACACATGAATAGATGTATTCATATTACATATAAATATATGTTATTTTTATATACAGATAAAAACATGATATATTTAGTTTTATAGCTTGATTTTTTTCACTTAAACTGTTTCTTGGGTATTTTTTTATATCAACACACATAATTATACTTTATTCTTATTTACTAAACATGCTAATTATTTGTATTGCCTTTTTTATAACTTTGAAAATTTTCTGAAAAATATTTTGCTTTCTGTGCAAGAACTGATATATTTGTTATATGGCCCACTTTCCACAAAATAATAAAAATTTTTGTGTTATGAAGTCCAAGAGGCAGATATTATAAAGTACAGTGGAAAAATAAGTAGTAGGTAAAACAAAACAGACTATGTAAAACATTGAGAGTGATGCAGAAGGATTAATGCTATTAAAATCTAAGAATGGGTAGATTATAACAGTTGGGCTCTGATATTATAAAGTATATTTTTAGTATACTTTTTAGATATACTAAAAGAAATGATGCAATAAATATGTAGATATTTGAAATAACAAAATAAAAGAAGTGATTAAAATTCCCAAAGATCTTTATAAACATTTCTAAGAAAATTAGAGATAAATCATCTAAGAAGTGATTGCATCATGTGTTATACTGATTTTGATGCCAAATAAAGAGATGATGGCTAGTTGTTCTTTCTTGAGTCTTCAGTTAGATGGCTCAAGGAGAGAGAGATGGAACAAAAGTTACATGCTTGAAATGAAGATCATTTAGATGTCTATGCTGCAAAACACACCTTACATGAATTAGATTAGAAGGTTGTTGCAGATTGAAATGTGTATATTTTATTTAGATTCATGGTTAAACCCTTAGGTTAAAATGCAATGGGGGCTGAGATAATATATAAAAGATTATCATACTTGTCTGGTGCTGAATTAATCATTTTAAAACTAGAGAGAATAAAATTGTGAATATATTAAAATAGGTCTATAGGCAAAAATATTACATACAATTAATGATGTTTTATAGTATATAAACTAACTTAATCTTTCACCTGAAATCATAGCAGTGGCTAAATTAGTAAGTACTACAGTCAATACCTTTTACTATAAGGTTGAAAATATAAAATGATCTTTTCCTTCTAATTATTTTATAATATATCTCTATTAGGCTTTATTTAGTGCACAAAAAAATCAGGTAAACTGATATAAAATATGAGTTGAATGCAGCGAAATAGAAAATGTAAAAGATTATAATTGCTGGCTTCTATGAGAGTGTCTTTGGAAGTCAATTTAGTATTATAGGACATAGTGTTATTTTAGTGTGCTCATTTTTCTCTTATTTTTAGCTTAAGTTGCCTCAATACATGATGACACAATCTTTGCAATATGTCCTAATGGTGAAACAATTCAGAAGTATTAATTTGTGAAGTTAATATGTTATACATTATGAATATAAATAAAAAATTTAAAATAAAGCATTGTAGTGTAAAGTATAATGTAAAATGTGTACAGAAGTAGGCATCTTATACTTTTGTATGTGAATCAGGAGAAGGCGTGATTCTTGGCCAGGTAATTCAAACCTAAATAATGTTGTGAGACTAAAGTGAAATGCAATTTTATTACCATGCAAGCAAGATAGAATAGTTCTGATAAAAGGGAAAGAATTCCATGTGTTGCAGTCTAAGGTAAACACACAAAACAATATACAAATATACTATAGAATATATAGCTGAAATCTATATAATTTCATCACCCCACTCATCATCACCAATATCACCCCAATAAATTAATAGCAAATTAATTTTTAAAAAGAAATTCCTTCAAATTTGAAAATACATAAATAAATAAGTACACTTTTGAGTGAAATCTGAAAGCATGTAGTTGTTTGTTCCAATAGACTTTTTGTCAATAAATATTTGTTGGGTATTTGCTTAATCCATACAGTTCTTCATGTGAACATAACAAAGTCCATGATTATATTGAAATTTATATTCTAGGGGAAGATGTATATCTGTGAAAATAAATAAGTGAAAATAAAAAAGCCCTGCAGTATCTTGGCAAATTACTGGAGGAAAAATAAATCTGGGTGAGGGAAAAGAGTAATGGTTTGAGGAAGGGTTAGTATTTTAAGGATGGGCTCTCTGAGGAGGGGACATTTGAGCAGAGACCTGAATGAAATGCAGAGGTAAGCCACTCTGT